ACACTTCAAAAGGTAGACTGTATGATAATATATTTCCATTCAGTATTTGCAACTAGATAGGTTATGATTTGGCAACTGAAGCAGATGTATCTATGACAAAAAACTCATTTCATAGTGTAGTTCTACCTCAGTTTTGGTAAAATGCAAGCACTAGGAATATTGTCCATCAGCAAGCATCAGACTGCAAAACAGCTGTGTGTGTATATAGATATATATACACACATTAAGTTTATTCTACCAAAATCTAACTTGCCTTTATATTCATTGTGTAGCTAAATCTAAATGTCATTGTTTTATGTTTCTATTAATTATATTTAAAGTCAAAACCTTTGCAAGACAAAAGAGGTAGTGATTTTGCCATTAGAAAAAGAAAAAAAATACCTTTTCTGCATTTACAGTAAAATCTGAGGCTAAAAGACCACCTTCACTGTGATCATGGCCCACCTCATACATGTTATATGACGGATTGCCGATTTCGACATTGATTCCTCCATTTATAATGGGCTGTCTTCTGATAGTTTTTGTCCTATAATGCATAAATACAAAAAAAAAAAAAAAAAAGAGCTAGTGACTTTTTGAGAAATTTATTGGATGCTTCATTCTAAAATATTACAAATTTTATTTTATTAATTTTTAATCATTAAGACCAACAGGATGAAACAGTGTTTCCTGCAGACACAATCAGAAAATCCTTGCATTTTCCAAACCAAGTGCAATCTGAGTCTGTATGTATCTCACATAAACTGGAACTAGTTTTTTATTGTTTTTCTCAGTTTGGCTGTAGTGCTATGAATTCATACAAAGTGCTCACTCATTGTCTATAACCCTGACTTCTCCCTGCTGTTTCCAGATTTCCCTCACTTCCCAGGGAAAGCCTTGCAAATCCATTGCAGATTCCCTGCAGTAATGAAGATGGAGTGAATATGAGTCATGTTCCCTTGCTCATTCATTTCACTTCCATTTGAAATCAGTTGCCCAAAATCGGTTGTAATCTGAGGACAAGCAAATTGTTTCATTACGATGCATTAAAAATGTACGAACTTCTCATAGTTCCAGTTTGTATTCCCTGCCAGTGGTTACTGGAATGCCAAAGTTCAACTTGAATTTTTCCAAACTTTAATAAAAGATAGAGTCTTATTTTTAACCTTGAATTAGATATCAATAAACATAAGTGATTGAGTTGAATTCTTTTAGTTACTGAATTCGTTTATTTTAGGTAAGGAGGTGATTTTATTCTGAGCAATTGAAATAACCTCAAGAGAGTAATTTTTCCCAGTGCAGTATGTTCTCTAGAATTCCAAGGGAATAACAGGGAGGTCACAGTCAGGATGATAATAGTCAAGAGCTCTTGTTTGGTTGAGAAAGATGCAGTCACTGTCTGAAATTCAGTACACTAAAGGATCTGTATTTTTCAGAAATGGTTTAAAAATATAAATTCTTAAAATAAGCATTTATCTGTAGTGCACAAGTGTTGAACATCTATACTAATTTAATACTTGACAGTCGTCTTTGAAGAGATTAAAAAAACCTCTAAAATACATTTTCAAATATAATTTTAAGGGAAAAAAAAAAAGTTCTTTTTTGAGGTTAGTTCTATGTGCCTACTGAAGATCTATTACTTAACAAGTTATTCTCAAGAAGTCGTTCCATTTAAGCAATTTACAGACCAGCAACTGTTTTTTGGGATTTGGCTATCACTAAATTTGGTCTTTAGGTACAGCAGCACATGATGACATCCACGGAAGAGGGCCATACTGTTACTAACAGTATGGTCAGGGAATGTATTTATATTGTTGCCTTTTCAAAAAGGATTTAAAAACTAACGCTTACTACTTAACACCACAGTTTGCAGGGGGAAGCTATGCATGATGTTAACGATAGTAACTTAAAAGACTCTTTTACTCTAGAGGACTGAAATAGTCCAGGTCTTCCCTAGTTGGCCACATCCTTACTGTCTGAAATCTTTCCTTGTTAAATCTGCATTGCCACTCGTTTCTCTGAACACAGGAAAGTTAGCAGCTCTCTCAGGTGTCTGCATACAGTAAAAACACCCTTATTTCCTCTGCCACCCAATGTGGCCTTTGAAGAAATGGCCAAAATCAAAATGTCGACTACACTCCCTAAGGTCATTAGCAGCTGGAAGGCAGCTAAATTCATGAGAGCAAGAGATTCACCGTTCAGTGCTGTAATTCGGCTTCCTATGCAAGATACTAAAGAAATGATGACAAGGCTTGGGACTCGACAGTAGATACTTTGAACATTGTTTACATCTTCACTGCAACTTACATAAAATTGAAAAGAACTAATCAAAGTAAATAAATTGAAGTGAACTGTAACTAGAACCTGGAAAATCTGCACAGGCTCTATCTGAAAGTATTTATAGACATGAACAATATTAACTACACAGTTCCATTGAAATACATCAATTCCTTTTACTAAGTTCACTAAGTTCCTGAATAAAATTATTTGCACTTATACAGCTTTGGCAGGATTGAGCAAACTGGATAAGAAAAGAACTACATGTCCTTATGCAGCGTATGTGGAATATAAATATAAATAATAGACAAGATTGTTGCAGCAAGAACCAAAATGTAACTAACTCACTGCATCCAGACACAAGGTTTGGGTTGTTTGTTATGGTTGGTTTTAATATCTGCTCAACATATATAAAGTGATTTTTTTTTTATATCAAAACAATGCATATACTTTAAAGACTTATTTTTAACTTCATACATCAATATAAAATTACTTACCTTCGTTTTCTTTTACAAAGAAATAGTCCAATTACCAGAGTAGTGATCAAAGTCACCAGTAAAACAAGAGGAACAATGATTGCAATGCTTCCTAAAACAGGAAAAGGAAATATCATTGAATACTCACAGCTACATCTAATAATTTCTTCACAGCTGTAAGACAGTTAAATTAATTTAAAAAGAATAATTTCCCTCACCAACAAATGCAATTTCATATGATGAGCTGAGCTTCACTGATTTGAGATTTTAACACTAATGAATTAAAAAAAAATTAATAAAACATTACAGATAAAGGTGTACACACAAGTACTTTTATCAACAAATCAGGAGCTTCCTCTTTCTGGATACCAATAGACTTTGGACTAATTCCCTGCCTTCACTTGCAGCGATACCGCACGAAGGTGTGGGGAATTGCTGAGCAATTTGGATTGGAGCAGCACGGCCACGGACTTTAACTGCCACCATCACCTTCTATCAATTTTAAATATTCAGTAGGCATGGCTCTGATTGAAGAATTACATTATTAACATTTATTTATATTTATTACTTTTATTTGTGGGGAAATGAAAAGTGGTAAGCAAGATTCATTTCTAGATGGTTGGTGCATTCCTTCATTTTACTGCATTGTACTCGAGAGCCAACAATTTTGTTATGTTGATATAGGCAATCAAGGAAACTACAATAATGCTTAATGTAGCAGAAAAACAGTGCACAGATCAGACAGCGATGTTAAAGGAGAGGAGGGAACAGGGAAGAAGAAGATGGGCTTAACGTTATTTTGGCAGAAAACTTCACTGAAATGAGACTACCTGCAAAAATAAGGTCAGCAGTTGTACCCTTCTAAGAATTTCTCAGTTTTAATGTAAGTATCTGGCAATAAAGAAATGCATGCAACAAATCATTTTATGGTATAAGAACTGGCCCTTATAAACTACAGGACTCCAGTATAAAGCCAATGTGGAATGACATGCATTTCCTTTAAAACCACAATCCTTAACTGGTGGAAAACAAAAATATTGCTGGTTGTTTCATTTATGAATTTATTAAAAAAATAAGCTGTTGGCAGTCTCTGCTCTACATTTAACACAGTCTAAATAAAGAATTAAAAAAGATGCCTTGAGTTTTGCCTGAAGGCTTACTGAAAAGTCAGTCAGGTTGTCAGAGGCCTGAAATGAAGTATCAGTGAATAAAATCTTGAAGCATCCTGAGTTCATTTCAGCTTATGAAGATTCAGCACGTAAAGGACATTACAACAATGCTATTTTGAGATAACATTTCATAAATAACTGGATGAAGTTCTACTTAGGAGCAAAAAAAAAAAAAAAAAAAAAAAAAGGTTCATTTTGCCTTGGCAGGTAAACATTAAAGAAAAAACCTGAAAGCTCACCAGGCATGAGTTGCCATCTAGTGACCACGGTGCAGCCTGGGCTCTAAGCAGCAGGCATGAGACCACGACCCATTTCCCGGAGTGTGGCAGGTATTCCCTCAACAAGAAACACCGCTCTAGGTTCTGGCTGGTTTTTTGCCCAGTTCCAGCTTGAAGTGTTATTTCACTTGTGTGGATCACTAGGAAGATTTCATCTAAGCATCAAGCTGACCTGAATAGCGGGCGATTCATTCTACTGCTCCAGTTGGGTTAAATGCGACCGAGACACGTACAGCAGGGTACCATCAGCATACTCAATGCACCATGGGGAACCCTGTCCAGTTTTAACTGCCAGTAGTGTAGCGATACCATCCTTTTATGCTTACAGACGTGTTTAAAAAAAATACAACAGGAGCTATTCTTACTTTCAGGATGATTTTCACAGTAGGCAAAATTCAAACCTCTGCAGACAGCCTGTGCAAAAGTTATGAACTACTTATAACTCTATTTTTGATGCTTTCAGTAGGACTTAAATGGTCAGAGGCCTCGTACTAGTTCCTGCACAGCAGTGACATCACCAAGCACTTGCCGCTTGATACACTTTCTTTAAGAAGAGTGCAGACTAGCCTTGAAGCAGTGAGTGTATAGCATACGGCTTGTATGGAACCACCTCATGAAACACGGAATGTCAGTCAAAGAGTTGAGAGAGATCTACACTTGGGGGTTTTTTTAATAAAAAAATTACAGGTAACCAGCACATTTCATGACACAAACTCACATGCCAAAGTATCACCAGGTTAACATTTCTAAACAGAGCCAAATTTGACAAGTGATAGCAGTTATTTGAAGTACTTACTTGTACTGATATTGTCAGACTTGCTGCTTTTGGGAGCTGGCCTCTCACACTGTGTGCCTGACCAGTTGGCTGAACATCTAAAAGGACCCAATTAAGATGGCAAAATTAAAAGATGTCAGCTGTTAACGCACTAACCTATTAAAGAGACTACCAGCATCTTCTCAAGAGCTACACGAATGACAACAATGATTCCACAAACTAAACATTAAGCTTCATGGAAGGAGTCAGCAGTACTCTGCCATGGCACTTACAACATTCTGAGTACGTTTTTAGTTTAAAACTACAGCTTTGTATCTCCAATTCCTGTTATTACCACTGCAATCTTCATTCCAGAGTCCTTTTCTAAAATTCTTGAACAATAAAACAACAGGCATAACCAATGGTATATTAATGTCTTATTAAACCAACTACCACCTGCAATGTGATAATGAAGGAACACTTGAGCTGGATCCATGCATAGCCAACTTAGTCCAGCCAGGTTTATTCTGAGGCGCTTTATTTGCACCATATTGTTTTAGGGTCAGCTTTGATCTAGAAGCTCTAACAGCCACGTCCCTATTGCACAAAGCATATCTGACTGGACATAAACTACTACACACATCCAATAACCCTTAGCATCCATCCTAAATGGCTCCTTCCACAGTTCTACTGTCCTCCATTGCTCTGGATAATGCAAAGTTTACTGTAGTATAGTTCTTACAGACCTGGCTGTAATAATTTACTTGAACAATTAAGACCTATCTTTGATTAATATTCACAAATTAACTGAAGTTCCCCTTCTCTTTGCTTTCAAATGTTTTCCTGAACATTCGACCATTTAATGACTTTATTTTTTTAAATTTTGAACTCTGTAACTAAATGTGTATTTGTGGAAATATATACATGTGTGTGTGTAAGCAGGTGTGAGTTACAGCATAAAGAGCTGTCCAGAAGGGACGGGAGTATCTACTGATTTCAGAGGGCCCTGAACACTGTTTATGTTCAGAATATATGCTTCCTGAGCCAGGTGCCTGGCAGTTATTCTGCTATAATTCCCTTGTGTGAATATCCGTATGGAAATATTTCTTCAAATGGGATTCAGAATGCTCTCCAGGCATACAAGCAAACAGAAGGAGTCTCTGTATGCTGACTCAGCAAATCCATCAAAAAATGGATGCAAATACCTGAATGAAATTCAATTGCTTATTCATCCTGCTGTAAATATGATTAAGCTTACTACAGAGTCTCAAGCTCTCCTTGTGGAAATGGCAGGAAGTAGTCACTTTTCATCTGCTTCTGTTGCATAACGCGCAATGAATCATGTTTTTTCTAAGTATTTTTGAATTTCAACGTGAGTTATCTTTAGGAAAATGCAATAGAGCATTACCTTCCACGCATTTCTAAGAACTACTGTTACCTGATGCCTTTCTAAGGATTTAACAAATTGCAGAGTTTAGAGGTGGACGTGCTTAACGACTGACATTGTTCTATAATACAAAAAGGTTTGGAAAGGTACAAAATATTCCAGACAAAAATTGTGGAATTCTTACAGGAGAGCCCTAGCCAGCTTTGCTGGTGATGCTTTTGACTCTCTTTTGTCTTTTGAGAATCTAATTTCATTTTTGGTAGGATATGTTATGAAGGTGCTTATCTCAAACTCTACAGATGTAAGGTACAGATGGTCTTTAAAACCATGTTTATTAATTGACAGTTGATTCAAAAATTTTCACACAATAGATGAATTGGATTATTATTTAGTAAGTTCTTCATGTTCACTGAAATAAATTTGTTTACTTAAATAAACGTGGTAAATACAGACTTAAATTTCCTCACTGCAAAGGAACCCCCGAATTACTAATTAATTACACACATTATGGTTCACAACGATGTATTTTAAAACTGACCAACTGATGTGTCCATTCCTGCCTACCACCACTTTAGCACATTCCAAGTCACATGGAATACATGATTTTCATCTTCTAAAAGATGCATCTGTTCCATTTTTACAGTTCTCTTTTCAGCAATTATATCAAATGGAAATGAATACACTGACAGCCTACGTGACTAAGATGCTATTCAAGGAACTTGTTGTTTTCAGAAGATCACTATTCAACATATGGCTGCAAAATAAGTATCTCCATTCTTGTAGAGAAACACCATAAATCTTTATACTTAGAATATTCTGCTGGGATCCAAACTGTTGGCATGTGACAACCATGAAATAAAGTCTTTATATTTCCTGCTGGAAGTTTTGCATCATTGCTGTTGCGGCTTCAGCTCATGTGATTAAAGCTTGCTATGAGAGGCAATTTTCATTTAATACTACACTATTGAAAGGGAAAGATGTCTTTGAAAGTTAGACGTATCTTCACTTTGTACCTAAATCTTTATATTGAAGGTTTCAAATGCTTCTGCTGTATAAGAGAATCATTACTATAAATCTGCTTTAAAACAGTTTAAAGAATATAAGACAGTGAGACTGGCAAAAGAATCACTATGAAGCGTGCAAGTATAAGCTTATGAGAAAATTGGTATAATGTACAATTACGCTCTTCAAACTTTTACAGCTGATATGACACCACATAGCTGCTGAAGAAAGAAATCCTACAGCTATATATGTAGTAAACAGAGGAACAAATCAAGGTAAGAATATTAGCAGTTTACCAATCTTGGCATTTTAATTGTAAAAGTCAGCAATATTGAAACATGTCTGAGGCATTTGAGAAAAGTCTCATAAAAACGTGATAGCTAGTTGCCACTTCATTTTCATTTTTTCCAAATGCTTGCTGTCTCCAGTAAACTTCAAGGGGACTGAAGCAGACAGGATGGCAGTCATTTCCTTCCATACCGAGAGGTAAAATGATTGCCCTTTCATGGTCCAGCAAGCTAGCAAAGACTTCTCTTGGGCAGACAGAATAGAAAAAGAAAGCAAGCCCAGGGGAAAAGTATGTTGTCCACAAGGGAATTTGACATAGAAAATTAGCCATGAGCAGGCACATGAATAATGATGGGGTTGGGACATAGACAACTGTTCATGTAGGAACATGGGAAATGAGCAGGTCTTAACCAGGTTCAATTGTCTTCAGATACCATAGAGAGAAATTGTTCTTAATAACAACATTTTCTGATATTAGGTCATTTAAAGTCAGGCTGCTCAGTACCTAGCATGGGAACTGACTGCTGGTTCAGTTTGATGCACAGTATTTTGTACCTTTCCAAATAATTTGGTACCAGGAGCTTTTGTTCGTTAGTACTGCCAACAGTTGTATGGTCAGAGATACGACATTTGCAGTACAGGCATACAAAAAGTCATTACCAAAGCAGAACTACGTAAAGCCATGGGTTTCCTTGAAGACATTCATGTTATTGAGAACTGTGAAGACAGACAGTGATAATGCCTAATCTGAGTTACAAATAAACAAATACAGATGGAATGAGATGGGGAGCTTGACAGTGAAGGACAGGTTGGAGTCAGCTGAGTGGTGCAAGGCGCTACCGTGAACATCTTAAGGTGCAGATCTCCAGTTCCCAACAGAATCGGTGAACAGATCAAAGAGCAACAATATCAAAGAGAATGCCAATATAAAAACTGAAAGCAAATGTAATAAACAAAGGTTGTACGTGGTCTGCTGCCAAGGTCATTAATAAAACTACATTACAGCTCTGTTACAGTTTAGTCCTACATTTAGAAAGAGATGATACTTGGGAAACACACGTTCTGAGATACAGAATGCCTACGTGATAGGAATTATTTATTTGGAGGAAACAGTATTACAGATGAGAGATATTTTAAAAACTCTAAATTGAAATTATAAAGGCGTTGCACTTGAAGAATATTTAGAATTAAGATATTTACATTTCAGAGATTGATCATGCTGTTGTTAGAGATGTTATTAATGAGAGAAAACATTTCTTTCCTCTATTTTTGTATAACCCTTGCAGGTCAGTGCACTGAAACACTCTAAACTCAATTATACGGGCACTTGACCAAAAGGAACCATTTGATTGTGAAATGTCTGAACAAATACAAAAAGCTAGTAAAAAGGATAATTTGGTGGTAGTGTGCAACTTTTTTTGGTTTTGTTTCTCTTTTTTTCCTTTTTTTGTGCCACAGGCATTGTCATAAAAATATAATATAGCAGGCATAATGTGAAGTTAAAAGTGCTTTTGTAGACAACTGCTTTCCAACTCAATATACCAGCGTGTATCAAAAAAAATTACAGAAAGCAACACTGAAAGATTAGTCTAGAAGTATAACAGAATCTGTGAAACAGTCAATACAAAATAGAGGTGGAAGGGGAATTGAAAATGTTTCTTACCTATAAATGATATTTCTTCATTATACAATGTAATTTTCTAATTTTGCTTTTCTTTTTAGTCACAGCATAGATAGTAATGTATAGTAAAACACCCTAATGAAAGTATTCAGCCTCACTATTTTAAGAACACTTATATTAAAATTCTGCTGGAACATGTCTTATCATTAATATTAAAGCTATGTGTTAAACAAGAGAAGAGGACATCTGGATTATAGTTATTTCCGATCTGTATTAAATTGCATTGGAAGATGGAAATCAAAGTAATCCCCTTTTTCCCCCATAGTCTGTAGGATGACAGAGGATGACAAAATTCTTGCACCAAACTAAATCATTAAACTATTTCTTACAATAAATTTAGCAATATGTTTGGAAATATGCTTTCTTCATACAGGGAGCTGATATTATAGAGTTATACCCAGATAAATCCTCAAGGGGGTACAAAGAACTTTCATAATGATGAAGGACCAAAAACCCACCCCTACCTTGATCAAGAGCACACCTTGTACCTTCTCTTATATTGCAGGATTTAAGTATTTTCAAATATTTTTTTTCCTTAATATTTTATCCAAGACCAGACCATATTTTAGTACTTTTGTCTAATGAGCATCACTTGATATCCTCATAAGGAAAACTAAGTGAAAGAATTTGATGCAGAAGCAAAGGGATAGAAATTGTATGTTACTTGAAAATGAAATACAGATTACCTTGCAATCCAATAAATAAAGAACAGGAAAACTGCACAATGCAAAAGCAGGCAAAACCAGCAGAAAATCACTTTT